ATTGGTCTTCTCCACGTAATCACATTAATTTTAGATGGCAAGAAGTAAATTTCACTTCACGCTTGTCTACGGAACAAATACGATTTTATTTAGGTTTTACGAAAAAATCTAAAAGGTTTAGAGCGATTAATCGAAAGGTTCGCTTAATTTGTTTCTATTTTGCTTTCCATTGCGCAGGTTTGCTTGCACCTTTACACTGGTAGGTAAAATTAAATAATATTTTTTTTTCTAAATAGTTATTTCTGTATTTGCATCCATAACATATAGTTGCAACGTAGCTCTTTTATTACTCAAAAGTGCTATAACAAAGAGTCGTATACTGATAGCTCAGGGCCCAAGCACTCGCCGTAATTTCGTTGTACGCAATCAACTCGAATTGCGGAAAATAGCCCGTCGTAAACTGAACTAAACGAAAGTGCTCATTTACCACGCCATGGTGAAAAAAAAACATCGTGGGGTAACCTGCATATCTGAGAAATTGAATATTTCAAAGAAGTGTAGTCTGTCAACACGTACTTCTACACGTGGGCCTGTGCCCAGCTGTGGGACGTATATAAGCATTTACTTAATATTTTCTCGAAAATTTTGTAAGGTTCTCATGCCTATTAACATAAATGGTAGATTATAATAGGATGTTAGCGTGTTATTTAATAACTTATATATTTTAACTAATCAACTAATGCTTCTTCTTTTTCTATTTTTAGTATGATATGTCGTAGTCGTTGAAAGTGGTGCCGCGCGGGCTGCGAGCGTGTCTTTACGACCTCCCCAATGTTATTTAAATATACTCCGATGTATTGACGCCAGCCAGCAATATACCACTTATGTTACCAGTACACTAGGGTACCGAATGCGAACGAAGTGTTACATCAACAAAGATTTATTGAAAAACCTTTTCCATAAGCTAACTTTTCTATTAAAGTTACTTTAGTGAAATCTAACTGCTGCTACAATCATTGTTGATCATAGATATTTTGGTAAACTATACATTATATATATATGTATATATATATCAGTAAAATATATAATAGTTAAATTTTAAAATTATTTCCAAAATAATATGGTCTGGACTAAAGAATTTTTGATAACTCTGGTTTTTCACCAGCATCGCTTAATTTTATATTAAACTAGCGAACTGCCCTGGCTTCGCACGGGTGATATCTGGATTCTACAACAGCGCCACCTACTGAGTCCAACTATACATATAACTTTCGCGAAAGTGCAAGCAATATGTTGACAAAGTTTTACCGCGATCTGATGAACGGTATGACAGCGCATAACATACGATCAAAGAAAAATTAATTTTAATTTATATTCATAGTTACGTAAGGAACAGTACTTATGCGTTTCACTATCCCTTTTTGATTGTTTAAAAGTTTGCGAAAGAAATCAAATATTAGAAGATACCTGAAAAATCACCAAAGTGTAGTCTATTTCCCTTAGTGTGTACCCACCTTAGCTTCCTTGATACGCCCGTGCCCTTCCGTGTTGAAACCGTCTTTATTGACAAGTGCGATAAAAATAGCGCCATTTGTTTTGCTTTCCAAACGGATATTAAAAGAACGGCAAGGCGTTTTATTAATAGATAAAATAGAGATCCGCTTCCATTTAGCTGTGATAATACAGATATGTAAGCTACAAATCAAAGGTATTCTATAACGAGCTACCTACTCAACATCGTTTATTTTATAGAAAACTAACACCGACACAGCCCATCGGATGGTGAGTGGACGCTGTGGTCCAAAGACATTAATCCTCGATTAAGAATCAAGTACGAATGGGTCGGCTCGACCGGGAAGGACCACGCTCTCACAGAATACCAGCGTAAAATAGCAGCTTAATACTGCTGTGTTTCGTATGGTGAGTGTAGAGAACCGAAGATCCTTTATACTGGAAACGAGGCATTCCATCTTAATTCTCAGGGTTGAAAACGCATCTGCGTTTTGATTCTTAATCGAGGATAAATCTAGATGTCTATTGGCCACAGCATCCAATTACCATCCGGTGGACGTGTGATCGTTTGTCATCCTTATTCTATGAAAAATAAATGGGAGAGGACTTTATTCAGCAATGGACTGTTACGAATGTACAAAAGGCATTTGAAATTACGAAAAGTTAGGACAATATAAAATACAAACAGGACTATCCTTCAAAAGGCTACTTGTTTGGTGTCAGAAGCGACAGACCGTTATAGAGGACGAAGTTGTAGATAACATGCGCGCGCATATCGATCGCCCGGCAGACTTTGGTCCGAGCCTTGTGCGTAGCTCCCGAGTCTTGGGCAATAAGTGATCGCATGTTTTGGATAAAATAGCGGTAGGTGAGGCTATACCTTCGCCTGCTAAAAACGTTAAATAACTATATAATAATGTTGAATTATTTTATATTTATTCTTATTCTATCGCGAAAGTATTCAAATATTAATAAAATGTCAAAGTTCCTTTTTGTACACTTCTTTTTTATATCAAATACCAAAAATTTGTAGGTACCTAGACTACCTAAACTATGCGAATCATTGCAACCAAACGTTAAATAACTTTATAATAATGTTGAATTATTTCATATTTATTCTTATACTACCGCGAAAGTATTCAAATATTAATAAAATGTCAAAGTTTCTTTTAGTACACTCCTTTTTTTTGATATCAAATACCAAAAATTTGTAGGTGTCTAGACTACCTAAACTATGCGCATCATCGCAATCTACGTTTTTAAAAAATATTTCATTGTCTTTCTAAATTTAAAATTTATCATTAAAAACTATATTTTTTCGGTTACAGCAAATACGTTTGATTTTATTAATTATATTATGTTCATTTTATTTATATAAGAGATGTACAGTAATTACCCTTTCTCTCGACGTAGCGTTATGAACATTTCTGAGAGGGTTTTAGGGCAAAGAAGTGTCCGCCGCGCAACCCCAATGTCTTCGAAATATTTTTTTCCTTATTCCTCAGACATGCAGGTTTCCTCACGATGTTTTCTTTCACCTCCGAGCACGTGGTAAAACAGCACGTAAAATTGCAATTAACAATTTCATTGGTGCCGACGGGGACCGAACCCGGGTTACTCGCGTTCTGTTATATTTACAGCGAGCGTTAACCATCTGAGCTACCACGGCTCTATAAATTGCCTATAACTATCGAATATTATTCATTCTTTTTATTTAAACTTTGCTAATAAAAGTCAAGTCATTTTTATGTTTTCTAAAATCTAAATAACTAATTTACTTGACTTTGACTTTGAACTCGAAAGTAAGGCATCGCGTGCAGTCTACGCGACGTTTTGCATTACGCCAAGTTTTGTTGTGGTAGCTCCTGAATCGTGGTGAGTTAATGTCATGGTGATATACATTGTGAATCGAAGACCACATTGCGCGTTGTCAATCAACAAACGTAATATGAGCGAATATTATATGTAATACTTCGATGATCCGTTTCGTTAATAGCAACAGACATAACAAAATACTCACTTACCTACTTACTTTCATTGGTCCACCGCGCTGCTCAGTTGTGTGTTGGTTGACTTCACATGACCTTGAAAATATTTTTTTAATTTCTTTTTCGGTTTTATTGTGACGTTTTCCTTCAACACCGAGTACGTGGTAAACCATCACTTAATGTTGTAATTAACATTTGTAATAATGTCTAATTGATCTGCTGCTTGAGTTGGACCACGGCAACAACTTTATTTACTTAACGAGTATTTTTGAAACCAGCAAGTCTACGTGCCCTTATTTCGTGTAACGCTCATGTAATAACATCGGAGGTAGGCTTTTGGTTTATGTATTTGAACAAATTTTGGCTGCAGCTGGTGAGTTAGGCACTCTGACCTTGCGATCATCTGTGTCTTTTATATTCGTAAGAAAGGTCCACTTAGATATTTGTTTCGTTGACTTTAAATGAGCTGAAATAGTATAAGAGTTTAAAAATCTTAAATAACATTCATTGATCATGAGGTGTGATGATTTTGTGGAAAATAATAGATCATAGTCATGAACTTATTGCATCGTTATCGGTTCTTAATACGTCTGCAGTATTGCAGATTATTCAGACGCCTGGAAACGCGTGAACACTGAATTATAATATTCCATTACATTTATACATACATATATAAATACATATATACATCGACCGGGAAGGACCACGCTCTCACAGAATACCAGCGTAAAATATCAGCGTAATGCCGCTGTGTTTCGTATGGTGAGTGTAGAGCACTGGCGACACTTTTTACTGGAATCAAGGCATTCCATCTTAGTCCTCAGGGGTGACAACGCATTTGCATTTTGATCCTTAATTGAGGATAAATGTGGATGTGTATGGGCCACAGCATCCACTTATCATCAGGTGGACTGTGTGCTCGTTTATCACCTAATGCTATTAAAAAAAACTTACAGGACAAACCGATGTAACATTACACCCTATACATCCACTGCTTAACATATACCCCATAGAATGCCTCATATGTTGGATTTTGCCATGGTTGTTACGCTTGGCAGGTGGGTTGGCAACCGAGTTTTTTATAACTTTGAGTTGTTATCAAGAAGATGCTGCTGTCTCTTTCAGTTTCCCTCTCGCCTCTTACAGCATCCACGGGATGATATGGGGTAGTGAATATTCTAACACCGCCACTACTCTGTTAAGATAATATAGTGCGTGTAATAATACAAAATGCAGACGTTATATGTGGTAGAGCCATGCTGGAGGTATATTAGTAGTATGGTTGTAGCATAAATTGGTCGGCTCAATCGGGGAAGGACCAGGTTCTCACAGAATACCAGCGTCAAATAGTAGCCGGAGACCCTTTTTACTGGAAACGAGGTATTCCATCTTGGTCCTCACGGGTGACAACGCATCTACATTTTGATTCGTAATCGAGGATAGATGTAGATGTCTATGGGCCACAGCAACCACTTACCATCAGGTGGACTGTGTGCTCGTTGGTCACCCTATCCTATAAAAAATCGTAATAGTTTTTTCATACTGAATACTTTGTTTCAGTGTGCAACTTTATAGTGCACGAGCGGTGCGTGGGGCAAGTGGTGACGCCGTGCTGCGGGGTGGCGCCGAGCCTTATCAAGGTAATCTACGTGCTATTATCATTTCTATTTATTTTTATTAACCGACTTCGAACAAAGGAAGATTACCCTTTTTAGGGTTCCGTAGTCAACTAGGAACCCTTATAGTTTCGCCATGTCTGTCTGTCCGTCTGTCCGTCCTCGCTTAATCTCTGTGACCGTTAGCACTAGAAAGCTGAAATTAGATACCAATATGTGTATCAATCACGCCGACAAAGTGGTAAAATAAAAATTGGAAAAAAATGTTTTATTAGGGCAGCCCCCCTATATGTAAAGTGGGAAGTGATTTTTTTTTTTAATTTCAACCCTAACGTGTGATATATTGTTGGAAAGGTATTTAAAAATGAATAGGGGTTTACTAAAATCATTTTTTGATAATGTTAATAATTTCGGAAATAATCGCTCCAAAAGTAAAAAAACAATGTGTCCCCCCCCCTCTAACTTTTGAACCATAAGTTTAGAAAATATGAAAAAAATCTGAAAAGTAGAACTTTATAAGGACTGTCTAGGAAAATCATTTTGAACTTGGATGGAAACAACAGTTTTTGTACAAACTCATAAGTGGGAACACTTATTGTGACGGACGGGAAACTACGGAACTCTACACTGAGCGTGGCCCGACACGCTTTTTTTTATAGAATAGGGTAAATCCATATGTAAGTGGTTTCCCCTATTCTTTCTTCCATCAGGGTCATGTTGAATTCAAATAAATTTTTCTTAAATGCAATGGCTTTAATAGGGGCTTGGCCGGTTTTTTTACCCGTAGCTTTGTATGTGCGCAATTTTTTCACTGTGGTAATGATTAAACCTATGTTATGATTCTACTTATGTGACGTTTCTAATCTTACCTCGAAACCATTTCTCTTTGTAAAATATCTATGTGCCCGATAAAAGACGACATCTATTTAGAAAACGATTCTATGTCGAAATGCTTTGTGAAATGAAAATGAAGTAAAATGAAATTTTAAACCAATGGCATTTAAACAAAATCTAAAGTTATATAAATGCTCTGATAAATTCAAAGTCAAAATAATTTATTCAGTTAAGAATTATAAAAGATTCATAACATCTACTAGTTAAGACAGAGAAAAACCGACAAAATAAATCGGAAGTCATTGTTTTATCGTGTGTATTTTTTAATGAGTAGGTACTTATCAATAAGTATAAATCAGTTTTCATGTTTGTGTTATGTGTTGGCAGAACCCGGTGGCTCATTGCTGGTCCGAGCCGACACACCACAAGCGGAAGTTCTGCACAGTGTGTCGGAAACGGCTCGATGAACTGCCAGCTTTACATTGTATGAGTAAGTATACTACGTCTTCTTAAAGTGAGGTACCATATTCAAATAATTAATATATATTTAAGTAGAAAGCGTGACTACCTACAAATTATGTGATCGATTAACGCAGGTGGCTCAGGACCTTGCTTTGCGGAAATTTGTGATCGAGGCCTGTGTTCAACATACTTGAGAGAGACTATTTCACGTGCCAATTCTTTTTAAATTTTTACTTGTGTGCCCAGTGTCTGAATTCTATAAATACGTTTAATATAATTTTGGTAAATTTTATATAAATGACAAAGATCATGCATTAGTGTTCTACATTTAAAAAACAACAAGAAGTTAGTGGAGATGGTTAAGTCTTATTTAGTAAAAGAGGAGTTCTCAGGCCCAGAGAGAGTCGAAGGGCATTTCTTTAACATATAATCTATTTTATAATCAACTTTTTAATCTCTCCTTTAACCAAAGTTAAAGTATTTCAAGTTTGAGTACGTGTGTAGGGTTCGAGTCTGAGACAGAAACTTAGTTTGCCCAAAAAGGGAACGAGAAATAATAGAAATACTCGTAAATTCATTGTTGTCTTTTATTTTATTTTTATAAAAAAATAAAAGAAATATTAATAAGCAATTAATTTAATTTTAGGGTTTCTGTTGAACCCAACAATGAATTTACGAGTATTTCTATTATTTCTCGTTCCCTTTTGAAAATGTTTTCGTTTTATAGACGTAAGAAGGGACACATGACCACCAACAAATATTAATATTCTTATTATTGATAATAATTGAGTAGTGTTGCTAGTAATGAAAATATGTGCTCACTAACTATAGTGTTGCCAGCTCTAGCACCAATATATTCAAAGTTAACTATGAAATATAAACATTTATTTAAAGTAAGCTATAAAATAATAAACAAGTTTTATTCCCCAAAGTAGTTCATACTGTTTTGATTTTTTTAGTATTGAATTGTTTTTGCTTTATATTTTCACATTTTTTTACACAGAATAATCTTGTTTAATCATTGCGAAATACAGCTTTTAAAAATAGGTAGTCACTTTTGATTAGCTATTTCCTGATTATTGAAATGTAAGGGTCTCCTACACATTACATTAGGGAGGGGAGTAGATACCACCTCTGCCACATCCCCTTCCTCGTCAATGTATAGTTTCTATGCATATTTTTTTTCTAAATTTCATAATTTTGTGCCAACGTGTTGCATAGAAGCATTTTCGTAATTTATTTTGAATTAGAAGGAGGATAGTTAACCGGCACCCCTTTACAATCCACCCTCAAAAATGCAAAGATATTTTTTATGAAAATTCCGCTCAAAACTAGTTTTGAGCAAATCTGTAGTCAAAAGCACTTTGTTAACGACCAAATTTTAGGACCAGATTTTAGGACAAATTAGTTCTTTCTAGGCTACACTCGTTTTTCCTTAACCCAGCAAGACCAATTAGATGTTCGTGGATTTGGCCCGCCGCACCTGAACCTAATGTCACTGATATTATTCTTCCGAGCGGGATCAAGCAGATGTCTCTGCTTTAGAATGGAAGCTAACGAAAAACTAGTTTAGCCAACAAATACTACTTTGTCCTAAAATCAGGCATAAACATTTTGTAAAATATCAAATTCTTTTTAATTTAATATACACTTATATATAATGAAACGGCACTGTAGTAAAACGGGCTATCTATTCGTACCGTCTGTAGCTTTTATTCTGTAAAGTATATATTGTACAATGGTGTTACATCGAGAACACCTACATGACAGAACAACATTGTAATATATTATAGCTGACTAAATTTTACTTGTTTAGATCATCCAATATACTTAAGGCTGCCCGCTAAAACGGGGTGAAATGAATACTGATGTTGGTAGTTAACAAATTATAAGTAAGCACCCTTATTTAGTGCGAGCGGTGCGTGGGGAAGTGTATAACTAATCTATACTTAATATACAGGGAAGCCTTCGAGAGTCCGTAGCGTGTCCCTGTCCACATTTACTAATAATTAAAAATTCTTAATACATTCTACTTATTTATTTACCGCTGATGTCAATTAGACCCAGTGTCGCAGTGTACTTATTATAATAGAGTGTAACTAATTGTATTGCGGACCCTTAACGCGCAAACGTAACACTCATCTGGGAAACTATGTACTCCACCCAGAAGAAGTGAAATTGCTCACAGCTAAGCAACTCCTTCTACTCATTGATGACATAGTGCTTAGCAGTGAACTATAGCCATAGCAGCGATCACAATAGATCTTTTAGGTAGTAGTAATACTGGGCTCTTTCCCTAGATCTGCATAGCTGTTCGCACAAAAAAGACTAATTGTATAGTATTTATTTGCCAAGTGGTGATAGTATAACGGAATCCATTACTCCATTTCGTCCAATCGGTGTCGTAAGAGGCTACTATAGGGTATACCAAAAACTCTTATGACCGACATATGGCGGTAAAACTAACTCTTTAACGCCAGCCGTAAATTAACCAGATCTGCGATGAGCAGGAGCGTATGAAACGTCTGAGACAATTAGCAAGTATGACGATTAAAGCAATTTCTCCCTAGAAGCAAGTCTAGAAGGACTTGTACGCTGATAAAGAGGACAAAAAATCGAGGTGTGGCTGTGTGTTGGAGAAGGCCGTATGTTTTACGTAAACACGTGTACATAAACAAAACGACCTTACAATGGCGGTTTCACAGTCCGCACTAAACGAAATCTTTGTGTAGTTTTGTTTTATATATCTTTATATCTTTGAGTGGTGTAATAGAATATTGGACGTAAACCATAGATATGTAATGCAAGAACAAACTGTGTGCCCCGCTTTTGTTATTATAAATCTTTTGAATTGTCTCCCACTATGGATGCAAATTTAAAGCCGTATTCATGTCAAAAGAAGCACTATTTAGTTATTTATTTATGATTAAAGTATGCGAGTACTACGTCCACGGCGAGTGCGTGGACTTTGCGGCGGCGGACTGCAAGGAGAACGCGACGTACTGCGCGGGCAGTGAGCCGCGCCACGTGCACCACTGGCGCGAGGGCAACCTGCCCGCCAACTCCAAGTGTGCCGCCTGCCGCCGCGCCTGCTGGTCCACCGAGTGCCTCACCGGCTACCGGTGCGAGTGGTGCGGCAGCACGGTAAGCAACTTAACGAAACCCTTTACGTGGTGGAGCCACACTGCAGCTATTTTATGGTTGTAACACTAATGGATCTGCTCGACCTGAAAAGAACCACACTCTCCCAGAATACCAGCGTAACATAGCAGCTAATGTTGTTATGTTTCGAATGGTGAGTGTACAGAACTGGAGACCCTTTTTACTGGAAACGAGGCATTCATCTTAGTCGTCAGGGATGACAACGCATCTGCATTTTGATTCTTAATCGAGGATAAATGTAGATGTTTATGGGCCACAGCAACCACTTACCATCAAGTGGACGATGTACTTTTTAGTGTACCCTTATTCTAAAAAAGAAGGAATTCTTTTCTACCTAGGGTTCCACCTGGGTACCGCACGCTTACTTATTTCTTCTGTGAAGCAGATGCGCGCACACTGCTGTGTCTGAAAGGTAAATAGCCAGTATTGTAGGCTAAAAGGCCTTCCGTCTTAAACCTCAATGGTGACAACGTATTTGGAGCCTTTTTTTTGAAGTTGGTTACAGGTGTCTATGGGCTGCTGTCCAATAACCCTCAGGAGACTCCTTGAGTATTTCAGAGAAATCATTAATATTATTTATGTTAGGAGGAAGAATAAAAGGACATTTAAACATTTTATGTTACTCAAACACAAGTGGTAAAATTAAAAATTTTGTACAACCGACTTCAATCCTATACCTTTAAACGAGCAATTCTTGTATATATATATAATCGGAATCTCGGAAACGTCTCCAACGATTTTCATAAAATTTTGTGTGCAGGAAGTTTCGGGGGCAATAAATCGATCTAGCTAGGATTTATTTTTAGAAAATGTCTTTTTGTCCGTGTTTTTAGGAAATGAAAAACTGCTACAATATCATTACAATAAGAAGGTAAATTTTGACAGTTTATTAATGATTACAAATAGTTTATGTGGTATATTGGGCGGTCACAAAATCGTAATACCATAGCCAGGGCCCAGACCGGACCGACCTACTTTTTCTAATTTTTTTTTCAAGTTCCTTTCTTTTTTTGAGAAAATCTATTTTTTCGCGCCCTTTTTTAGTATTTTTAAAAAAAACGAAAATTTTAAATTAAACTAATTGCACTCATGATTTTTTATTCAAATAACCAGTTCAGTTTTTTCTATTATGTCGCTAATATCAAAAAATATTATTCGTATTTCATCAGTATGTAATTTGTATCTAAATACAATTTCCAAAACACACGAATTAAAAAAAAAACCGAGCGAAAAATACCGAGCAAAGCTCGGTCAACCGGGTACTATAAATAAAATGAGAACATCATCAATGTAGTCAGAGTCAATTTTTTTTATGGGATAAGGGTGACAAACGAGCACACAGTCCACCAGATGTTGAGTGGTTGCTGTGGCCCGTAGACATTTATATATTTCCTTGAATACGGATCAAAATCCCAAAAAGATACTTTATTTCTCACGACAATCCTGTATTTCACCGAACAGTGTCACGCTGGATGCCGTAATCTGATCCCTGAAGAATGCAACTTCGGGATGCTGCAGCCGATCTTTCTTCCTCCATCGGCGGTTTCAATACCTCGGACGGAGGTGCCGATGGAGGCTATAATCGGCGTGCACGTGCGCCCCCCACCCTCACAGCGGGACTTTGGATGCCGTAAGTATTTCTATTCCCTCCTCAGTGCTCCGAAACGTCGCCCGCGCCCGTGCTTTTGGCCCCACACATCGCCTCGCTGATTCAGCTTCGCTCGCAACTTGATCGAATCATTTCTGCCAACTTTCAGAGTCCATACATTTCTTCCGCTTAGGTATATTTAAGTATTATACATAAGTAGAACGCATTAAACCAAACTATTCCTTTCTTGATCCATTTTATACATCTGTACAAGTAGGTTAGTTTGGATAGATTACTCCTCTAGAATTTGGTAATGGAAATTGGCCTTCAATTCGAAAGAAATATTAAAAATAAAAACTTAACGCCATTGTTACTAAAATGAAAATATATCGTCTAACAGAACGAAAAATTTTGCTCTATAAAGTTTTATTAGTGTATGTTTGGTCTTGTATAATCTTTTTTAGTAACCTACAGCTCTAAATTTGATTCCTTCATAATTACTTTATTGTATATCCTATAGTATTAATAATAATTCTAATGAAAGCATGATTCACGAATCAAATTGTATTTATATAGCACTGTATCCTCCTTTCTTGACTATTGCATCTCCTATTTAACATTAAAAATTCAGACATAACGATACAAAACATAAGTTCTGTAAAAGAAAAAACAGTTGCATTGTTTATGTTTCCTCCTCCACCTATGCCTTTTATTATAATGTACTTATGTATCGAGTAATAGATAGATCGAAGTTTGCTTTTTATTACGCCGTCTTAGTTAGTGGTCGGTTAATTTGGTACATATCGGTACGCGAACGGTCGAGCGCGTGGGTGGTAAGGTAGTGCGTGTGGGGTCGCGCGGCACGCGTGGAGGTGGGTAAGAGCGTGTGTTTGGGCAGCGCGGGAGCACCGCGGCGGCTGGGGCGGCGCGCGGCTGGCGTGGCTGGCGCGGCGCCTGCTGCCGGCCGCCTGCAGCCCGCACGGCGGCGCCTCGCCCCCCTACTCCAGAGGTACTGCGCCCGACTGCGCCCATGCGACGACAGCATGACTTGCCGCTGACCTGAGCCGAACTACTACCAATATAATACTATTCCACGAAAATTATTACCGACTTCTTAATAGTTTCATAGTATAAGCCAGGTGATGTGTTTTAGACGCCATTTTGTTTTCACGTCCTACACAACGTGGCCGCCCGCTCTTAATACCCGTACTTTCAAATCAAATACAAATAAATCACTTATACACATATGCCTTATAGGAGCGAATAAAAAGAAAATATTATATTAATGATTAATCGTAGTTCTGTTACGGTCAGCAAGTTAACGCTTTAACGTTTTGCCTAAATTGAAGTTAACAATAAATCCATAAACACCAAAAAAATACAAAGCTCTTAAAAATTAAACTTAAATCGAAACTGGACTTACTAAAATAATCTAAAAGAAAATGCATGTTTGAACGCTTGCTTGATTCATATTCGTTTTCAATGAGACACAAGAACTTTTAAAAAAAGTTTTAAGGGTTTTAACAACGTTATCTATTGCTCGTGATAAATTATTAGCCATGTATAAGTTTCGGTGTCAACAAACCAAACGTGTAGTATTCTAGAAAGGCGTAGATAGAAAATCTTCGCAAAATTCAACGTCCCGAAATTTACGTTCATTTCACAAATATGTTCTGAATTTATAATATAGATATGTCGTGTATATATATTTTTTTATATATATATATATATATATATATATATTTTTTTATTTATATAACATATTGAAAATCTAAGGTGTCATCATTATTTGGACTTTCAATAAAGTATAGAGGATATCCTAGCTATGCCTGTGGTCTTATTTACATCTGAGTCGCGGTGCCGCCACAAGAATACTCAGGATGCAGTATTCCAACAGTATAAGGTAACAATAATTCGGTTTGAAATGTGCCGCCATAGCATAGTCCTTAACATATTTAGTCTGTGTTGCTATAGCAAGAAGCCGACTTTTGCATGTACGTATTTTCAAATGAATAATTTAATTTTTTTTCCAATTTATCATGTTACACTAAAAATCCATGATTTAGGATTATACTTAATAGTTTTTTTTTTTTTGTTATATGAATGGTTGAAAAGAGATTATTTTTTCTAAATCTTTCAAGAACGCGCTTTAAAATTACCAATTTTAAACGAGACAATACCCCAAAAAAACGGTTTTTATACCTGGTATTACTATTTATTTATTGTAATACTTCCAATTCAAATTAAATATTTTTTTCAAGTTTGCAACGGCTGTTTAAATAAAAATAAGTAATTTATTTAAAAGTACGTACATACTTATATCGTAGTTATATTTGCTATCGATTGTTTAAAATAAACTATATTAAAAAAACACATCTTAGAAAGTGTGAAAAAGTGTGCCTAAGGTCCACTTTGCTTATCTATAAAGATACTCTTTTTTAAATTAAAACATACAGTCTAAATAAAACTTAAAGTTCTTATCTGCACAGCTTATATGAATATTAAAAATAATAAATAAACTTAAGTATAATAATTTCATTAATCTATATATCTTGAAAACATTTACCTAATGTTTTCGAATATTTATTAGTATATAATAAGTATGTAAAATAGAGCCTACTGATGCAACATATGTGAAAGTTACGAGTATTTTTATTTAATAGAATATAAAAAATTCTGATATGTTTAGGAAAACTATATATGGTTTTCTCTTAAAAATGTTAAGGATAAGGGTAGTTTTCCTTAACACTTAAATAAATTCCTCACAAATTGTCTGCTGCATGTCTTCAATAAATTAAAAAAGGTGTGAAAGTCTGCGAAGCTGCTAAGCAACTCCACTTACTCGTATCTCTACTCCCCTCCAGTAAGAAAGAGAGCTGGTTTCATTACCTTTGTGAAGACTATCATTATATATCATACAACTTTTTAAACTATGATATTCCAAAATATAAATCAAAGACATTGTATATTTTTTTAAGCCAACTATTTAAAAAACTTTTAGAATTTATTAGTCTTCGCTACTACTTTAAGTGTATGTAACACTTAAAGCAAAGTGAAAGCACGTAATTAAATATGCTTAAAACTTATAAGGCATTAGACCTTGCTAAAAATTCTGAGTCTGTTGCAAATCTAGAAATGTTCTCGCTAATAAATGTTCTTGTAACTAAAAATTAAAACCAACTTAGTACTAATACAATTTCTTGTAGAGAACCAACGTTGAATAAAAAACTACAAATTTTAATAGTTTCCAAAATCAATTCATATTTTATATTGTATATCCAATGGAGTATATGCCAAAACATCGTCACATATAATAATTAAATATGATAGAGACTACAAAAAAAATTGTAAATCAAGACCCGCCAACTGACAAGACGTAAACCAGCATTTATGGGTGGGTTAACGGGGCACTGGGGGTCGCATGTAAGCGATATGGGGTGTTGCAGCGCGCAGCGTGAGCGAGGAGTTCAGCTCGGGGTGCGAGGGCCGCTCAACCTCCGGCGGCGGCTCGACAGGAGCGCCTGCCGATCAGGAACACCGACCCGACCACAAGCAACATCGTGATAGGACCCCTGATGATAGGGATGAAGGTAAGGAACGGAAGTGGAGCTAACGTGCCCTCGGTTTCTCAGAATAAATGTCAGGCCTGTACAACTCAACAATCGGAACAAGTGCATGCAATATACCTAGCTAATACTTTTGTTGTTTAGAATTTAAAATATATTTGAGTACTATGATTGTTGAAACACCTAATAGTGAGTCTTGTGCTGCCATGTGACGACATCACAAATAATTTTTTTACTATTTAAATTTTTTTTGGAATATGTCATTTGTTTCGTTGTTTTAGTACTAAGGCCTGTGGCTCATAAATATAAATAATTAATAGATCTTTAGAATTTTTTTTCTTACGAAATTTCAATGTCTATTGTAAAGCTATTTATTTCACATTGATAATGTTGGTCCTTCGAGCCCGATAAATAATTAAAAAATATTTTCATTATTCTTAGCTAATTTATGGTTTCTCTTAAAAATAATATATTTGTATAACAACAAATAACAAGTTTTACGTTGTTGTCAATGAAAACAGAGGTGGTCAAAGTGTACGACGGTGAAGCGGCGTGGACACGTCGCCTCTATCGGCCGGTGGTGGTGGGTCGGAACTGGAATGAGCGGGAGTTGGTTTCGGCGGCGCTACGGGCCTTCCACGTGGCCCGAGACCCCGAACAATTTGAATTAACGGACGCCCTAGCTGGTGACGAACCTCCGTTAAAGGATCCAACGCCTCTGGCTAAGGTCACACGCTTACCTAATAAAAGGCCTTCGCTCTTCCTGCGTTTCAAGTAAGTGAAATGTTAAAAAGATAGATTTTTTATTGTAACTTAATATGGATTCTTCCTCTTACTATTTTATTATACGTAAACACGCCATTAATAATAATTATTAGACAATAATACTGTTCAATAAAACAGATTAAAAATAGTATTAAAAAAAAGTTGTCATGTTATTATAATTGCCGATATTTTTAAATACAATGTTTTACGGTGTACTGCGTGATGTTAGAGATTAACACGTTTTAAAAATATCTTTACATTAGGATTATTACTTCCTCAAATCATGATCTATATTTTTCTTTTTAGTTAAACGACTCGTACATTTGCCATTGTCAAGTATCGGAAATTATCCTATAGAATAATTTGTTTAAAAACTTCTTCACTATATGTTGCGAATTTCATGACAGATTTTGACGGCAGCTCGAGTGGGTAGTTTTATATATCCAAATCCACTTCAAACCATTATTTAAAAATATATACAGGAGCAGCAATCCGCCTCCAGTCAAGTTCCCGTCAAAACTCAATGTTAATTTTTCTTTCTTTCTTTGGTAATAATGGACGGTTGTATTTTTGCCAGTGTCAAGTAATATGAAATTATTTCATAAAATAACTTATTTGAAAACTTTATTTGAAAATAGTCGATGACGATAGTATCTTAAGGCACCTTAGCAAGCACAATAACTTGAGGTTCACAACATCATCGGAGCACTCGTTTCACTATTTCCACATGAGAGCAGCGATCCGCCAGCAACTAAGTTCCCGCGAAAACTCCTCCATATTCTTCATTGTTATAACAACGCTGATAAGAGCGCTCGCACACCAGGGAGCCAGAAACCGGCGGCGGCGAAGTGCGCGTGTTCCCGGGCCGAGTGGCCGGCGCCGGCGACACGTTCGTGACGGTGGCGTGCTCGGGCGAGCACGCCGTCGCCGACCTCATGGCGGCCGCGCTCGAGCGCTTCGGCCTTGACCCCGAGCGCGCCGTGCACGACTACCGCTGCTCAGAGATTCTACTTGATCGCGGTGGTTAGTATTCTATAAGAATAAATATGGCCCGATTTACATTTTGAGAAGTGACAAGTGCGTATTATATTCCCACTTATCACTTGGCACTGCCTGTTCACACGCACTAAGCACTTGTCATTTGTCAGTTGTACTTGACACTCGCACTTGTCACTTCTCAAAATGTAAACCGGGCCTAATAGTAATACTACTAGACGGGCTCTGCGGCCTTTATATATTGCGTACTAAGTTACGGTTTGTTCTCCGTAACTCCTTTAGACGACTGCGAGAGGCCGAGATGACTAGTTCTTTGTTTTGTAAACCGTGAACGTTCTTTACGACAATTCTACACTGATTTTGTTTAATGTGACTAAGAAAACGCTGTGTGCACTTCGTCCACGTGATTTAAAGTTTTTGGATCACTTCTTCAAGTTACTGTCTTTAATGAAAACACACCTGCGTGGCATATTCACCGTGCCAGCTTCTCGCCCGCGCGATCCAGAATTATGACATAGCTTTTGTTCTGAATTGCCGTTTTAGTGATACACATAAGTCTTTGGCCCGTTAGGCATGCTGTATCATGTTGTATGTGACAGCAGCGTAAGAGGATCCATCACCCCATTTTGTCACGTGGGTGTCGTCAACTGTGGTAAATGCCAAAAATTAGTTTCCGTCAGGCGTGAAATACTCTGACCGACGGCGGGCAGCAGCATCGAAGGTGCGAGACGTCTAGTCCTGTGATCTAAAATCTGCCTGCCAAGTGTAATGGTTAGGCCAATCCTGACCCATGTTCAGCAGTAGAATTTGGGGGCCAATAAAGTAAAGAAGAAAAAAACATGTCATCCGATATCTTTATTTTTCGAAGTTTTAAATATTGTTTTCTCATACCAGAAGATAAGAGCCGTGGTAGCTCAGATGGTTAGCGCTCGCTGTAAATTTCACAGTACACGAGCAAACCGGGTTCAACCCCACCGGCGCTAACGCAATTGTTAATTGCAATTTTGCAAGTGCTGATTTACCAAGTGCTCGGCGATGAAGGAAAACATCACGAGGAAACATGCATGTCTGAGAAATAAGAAAAAAATATTTCGAAGACATGTGAAGGTCGCCAAAACGCATTGGGGCAGCGTGGCGGACAATTCCTTGCGTTAAAACCCTCAGAAATTAGCGGAGGCCTGTGACCAGCAGTGGGACGTATAGTCTGTAACTAACATACCAGTAAGAGTGACAAACAAACACACAGCATAGTAGATGGTAAGTGGATACTGTGATCTATAGTCACGTAAATATCCACAATTAAGAATAGAAATAAGCTGTTTGTTACTCTAGAGGACTAATTGTCTACTCGTTGCCAGTAAAAAGTGTCTCCAATTCTCTTCATAAGTGCAGAGACTTCATAAGTGTTTCATACACTAGCGTTATGATACATTCTACGCTAATATTCTGTGAGAGTATGATCTTTGCCAGATCAAGGCGACCCCATTTGTGCTGCAGATGTAACACAGCTGCAACTTTCTCGTAATGCTCAAACTATTATGAGATCTGATTATTTTTAAACATACTGAAAAAATTAAATGAAGAAATGTTGTATTCGGGTCTTCCCACATTGAACATTAAATATATCGTAATTCAATCAATTAAGGTCAATTAAATAAAAACCCACGGGTGTCGATAAAGTTACAAAATGCAATATCGAGGATAACCTGTAACTACTGATGGACGGATAACCGTTTAAAATTAACTAAGTATCAAACTGCTTTTTATTGGTTGAGTGCAAAAAGGAAAGTTCTTGAATTCACGAAAGATATTTCGAGTGATTATACTTGAATACAAGACGCTAATTAAACTACATACTATCGGCCTTTTTGAGTCCACTGCTGAAAGGGTTTCATGAATATTTTATCTTCTACGTAATGTTTACTTAGATTGATCCATATGCTAGTTCTTGGCCACAGAGTCTTTACACTCGTACTGATATTATTTCTTCTGATCACCAGTCTATGAAATCGTAGTTCAGCGTTTTTTCCACTATCAGTCATTCGTAAGGACCTCGTTCATCACTCAGCGAAAAATACGTGTGCAGCTTTCAAGTAAAGTTTACACTTAGAGAAAAAGTGAGCATATTAACCCTTACACCTTACACGAGAGCCGTTACACAGTACGCAAGTAACCCGAGTTCGATTCCCGTTGATCCCATAAAATTATGGTGAAGGAAAATATTGAATGGAAACTTGCATGTCTGCGGAACAAAATATCAACAACCACCGTCAGACTGACTACACGCCCTAAAACGAAATAATAGGTGGTCTATAGAGAGACATACATAGGTTGAAACTGTTCCATATAGTCCGCACAAATATCTTCAATAATTACAACTAGTTAATAAATCATATACAATCACAGCAGTATCAGAACGCGTCCTCGAGGAGGACGAAAGGCCTTGGCGCATAGTGGTGCGGCTTGCACGCGAGTCGGTCCGGCGCATGGAGCTGGCTCGCTTCTACCTGCAGCCGCGCCGAGACCCCCACGGGCCCACACTCGCGCTGTTCGTCGCCTCTCTACCTCCCGGCCTCTCCGAGCGCAACTACGAGAACATTCTCGTGGAGTTCCTCGGTACCGGTGAGTCGACATTCTGCTCACTTACATACTTTCTTGTTATTCAATCTGCTGACGCGCAAGTAAGCAAGTAAGTTCGCTTCCTCGACGCACATGAGTTTCTGTTATCCTCTAGGTGAGACACCATCTGTCTAAATCACTACATCGCAAGGTATTTATTTGTATATTATCTGCCTCGTTGTTTATATTCCAGAAGATCTCAGTAGCAGTCCATAGTCAGTAAGTTGGCGGTATTTAATCTCCGTGCTTCGAAAAGTATGTAAAACCGTTGGTCCCAAGCTTGGTTATTAGCAAGCAAGCTTATTTCCATAGCATAATGTTATGTGGAATTTTGCTATGGGGGAAAGGGGCTGATTTAGAAACTATTTTTGTTTTGCAGAAGAGGGCCATTAGAGCCATTAGAGTTATTTATTAAGCAACCTTAAACTGAGAGAGTCTTTTAGAGAAAAATTTAAAGAAATAAATATATTAACTTTGGCCTCTCAGTATATCAATGAAAATGTTTGATGTATGTTCACAAAAATAAAGGTAGTTTTAGTAAAAAAAGTGACATACACTCTGTAAACACTAGGAACAAACACAAGCTGGTGCTACCAGTTTCTCGACTACACAGAGTCAGTAATTCATTCTTGGGGCAATGTATACGCTATTACAACAAAGTCCCAGAAAATATACAAGGTCTCTCTATTACCAAGTTTAAATATTTAATTAAACAAAACTATATAAAAAGGGTTATTATGATATAAATGAATATATGGTTGATAATAACCCCTGGGAATGAGGTGGTCGTTTCCAAGCTGTTTCTAAAATAAAGTTTGTGAATATTTTGTGACCCTTAACATTGTAAAATTTATTTAAAAAAAGTCCGGCTGGGTTTCTTGCTGGTTCTTCCCAGGACAGAGGTTTTTTTCAAACCAGTGGTAATGTAAAATATTGACTTTCAATAAGAATTACTTATAATCTATATTGAATAAAAAAAATCTATTCTATTCTATGGTCTTTGTCTCGTCGTATCAGATCCCGTCTCATCGGACTATGAGAGTGAGGGAATAGAAAGTGCACCTGTGTTTGTGCACACTCGTGCACTATATTCCTGTCCTGCATAAATTGAAATGTATTATCTACAGAAACCTATTATCCATTGACTGCTTCGACGCTGATGGAAGCTTGCCACTTCTCATATGTTCACATTCGCCCTTTTCGGGATTTTTTTAATATTCAATAAGCTCTCTCGCTACACGCGCCCCTATAAATCTTGCTGTTGGGTTTTTCATAAATCAGTTTTAGATTTATTTGAGTTATGTTGCCAACAGTAAGTTTACTATACGATAATTAATATCCATACAACACTGAGGACCAAGTGAGGGAGTGAATAACAAGAATGATAGAAATGATAGATATGGACTAAACATAACTGATAGCGACTTCATGCGCTAAATATTTATTTCTATATATTCTTATTTCCTCGATATTAATGGCAATCATAATTTCAGATATCAAAACATTCAAGACATATTATAGTTATCTAACAAAAATTGCTTTATCTTTGTGTAAGGAGCACCACCAAAAAACAGTCGCGCGTTGAATTCTAATTTTAGTCAATTCTAATTCTTTTACTAAAATGTAGAGTTGAAAGCCTTCTACACGCATTATCGCAAGGCGACGTAATGAAACATGTGGAGAGTAATGTATACCATGCTTTGTGACAATCTATTTCAAATACATTTTTTTCCGTGCCTGTCTTCGACTGAAATGATGCTGATCACGTTCGATCACGTTGATTGGAAAAGCTATGAGAATAAGTCAAGTCGTATTCCATAGTATAAATTAATACTACCACTTTTTAAGAAGAAAACAATCACTATATTATGCAACATTCTTTACGTGCAAAGTTTTTAATGAGTTAAAAATGATAGGGTTCTACGTTCTCCTTCTAACAACAAAATATGTATTCCTATTCCCTTCGCCGCCGAGTTCTATGGTAACTCCTTTACAGTTCAGGCTACACGCTTTTGGAACTCCTTGCCCGATTACATCAGAAAATCTCTCAATAAGTTTTTAAAAAGTCGGTGCGTTTAACCATCTATTAAAAACAATGCTTCTTACATGAATCATCCATGTCATTTATACCAGACGTATATATTCATAGTTATTTACATGTGTATGTATCTGTATATACTTACGTCAAATTCTCACCACTCCATGGGTTAACTGGTAGGGAATGCTTCAAGGCATTAAGTCCGCCCTTTGTATTCTTTTATTTTAAGGAATGCAATAAAGAATAAATAAATAAAATAAAAACAAATAAAATCAATTAATAAAAATAAAATTAATCTCAAATACTTCTTGCAGTTCCAGCTACTCTGTTTTCTTAATATGAAATCTTCTTTCTCAGAAAACAAGTTCACGTCGATCGGTCCGATTTACTATGAATACGGGTCGATGGTGATCACGTACGAGGACGCCAGCAAAGCTGTGCGTGCGCTCTATGCACTCCGAGAGGCCAAATATGAAGATAAACCTTTATTAGGTAAGTAAAGCGTGAACAATGAATTATTGAAGTAAAGCGCGAACAATGAATTATTCAAGTGACAACTTGTATATTCACAATCGAAATTTAAAGTATACCCTTTTGCTATGCGCTACATAAGTAAACATTTTGCACGAAGGAGAAATAATGGCAGTGGTACCTCACTCGGTTGAAGTGGGAAAATTATCACGTCTTGCGGTCTGAAGAACACAAATAATATTTTTATTTATTACTATTTACGATGTGGGAACTTTAAAACTGAAAAGAGTAGAATTCGGAAGCTTTGTATGAATAGAAATAATTTTTATGAATCTATTAAAGGTCAATAACAAAGTATTTTATCAATAATAACAACAAAACAATAGACAACCTTTACATTATATTTTATACAAAGTTTTATTTACACTGTTAATTGATTAATTTTAGAGTATTATGAAGCCTGTTCCCCAAACTAAAAACATATTTTTAATCTTAGTAGTGTAAATTTAAAGTAATTTACGTCGCCAATTTCAAGTATAAAAAATGTACTCTGTAATAACAACTGAAAAATCATTGGATGCAGAAATTTCGTGAAGATTTCGATAACAAAATTTTTCCGACATTCCTTTTTTGGATGGGGGTTTTCTATCGTTTCGTTGTTGATATACCCAGTTCGGCCTTAGCCCTGAGGGCGCATTGGGCACACACCCAGCGGCTTGACGTACGCCCACAAATTCTTAAAACGCAAACCTACGAGTATATATACTTACGTACATTTAAAACACATTTTTCTCTTGTATATTTTGGAAGTTTTTAAATACAAAATTGGTAGTTTTATCAAATACAAAATATTTTTTTTAATTTCATACCTCATAATTTCCTGTGTAGTTATGTTACTGCCGAGCATCGAACCGTCAATGGTCCCGGCGGGTGTAAAACCACTTCTAGTTTTCGTGAATGTGAAGTCGGGTGGCTGTCAGGGTCTGGAACTTATCTCATCGTTCCGGAAGCTTCTCAACCCTTACCAGGTGTTCGACCTTGAGAACGGCGGCCCCCTGCCAGGGTGAGTACTTGATTCCAATTTTTTTTGTTGTATTCCAACTCATAAAATATTATAATTTTGTATTTAATAAAAAAAATCTTACGTGATATTTATAACCTCATTGTACCTTTCACATATCTGGATTAAGTAATTTACTAGTTCCAACGTGTGTCCAACGACCTATGAGAATCATTTCATCCCGTGGGTTGCAGTAAGACTATGGGGCATGACAAAAATAGCTCAAGACTTCCTCCTTTATAGATGGCGTAATAACCACCCCCTTTACCCCCGACGTAATATAACCAGATTGGCAGCAGCATAAAAGACGTATGTGATTGCCAGCGTACCAATAATGTAGTGAAACTTTTACGAGCTGGTGATGATGATGGCGAACGGCTAAGTTGTGACCTCCTTTTTTAGACAGAACCCAGACTGAATGGACACCTAATACTCTTTTACTTACTTTTTATCTTTTACAAACAGAATAATAGCGCCGTGGGTATACTGCAACAATAGTTTCAAACGTGGTAGAGCCACGCTGCAGCTATATTATGGTTGTAACACGAATTGGTCGGCTCTTTTATAAAATGAGGATGACGAACGGGCGTACAGTCCTCCTGATGGTAAGTGGATGCTGTAGCCCATAAGCACTTACATCTTTCCTCCACTAAGAGTCAGAATGGAGATGCGTTTTCATCCCTGGGGACTGTGATGGAATGTTTCGTTTCCAGTAAAAAGGTTGTCTGGTTCTCTACACATACCATACGAAACACAGCAACATTAAGCTGTTATTATACGCTGGTATTCTGTAAAAGTGCTGAAACTATAGCCGCAGCACGTCTCTACCATGTTAGAAACTGCATTTTTCATGGCTGTTGTAAATTTCAATGTATTTGGAGATATATTCTGCTTTTTTAGACAATTTCTTCAAACCACTTTTATAAGTGAAAACGATGTATTTTCTGGCAGATTGTACGTGTTCCGGCACATCCCCAACTACAAGATCTTGGTTTGCGGCGGCGACGGCACCATCGGCTGGGTGCTGCAGTGCCTCGACAACGTCGGCCAGGACTCGCAGTGCTCCAACCCACCGTGCGCCATCGTCCCTCTCGGCACTGGTAACTGAACACTTTCTTTTATTTTGTTTTGATCCTTCACCCTTTGCTCGTCGAAAGGGAATAAGTCATTCCATTACGCCCGTCGGTATTGCAAGAGTTAACTCTTGACTATGGCAATCTCATGGGAATTTTATAGCTTTCGATAGGTGTAACCACTTCTTTACGTCAGACGTTAAATTCACAGACCAACGGGGATCAGCATGAAAGATGCGGAGACATCTGATGATGCGCAAAACCACCTATCAAGCGTGGTGATTCAGGCTAATCCGTACAAGAATTTTTACACAATATTTTTACACATATAACATAATATTTTATGAAATTTTTCTATGGGAAAATGCAACTCGCATTGAATGTAAATTGCGTTAATCAAAAGAATATTAATACTCTCAAGTGTAATTATCACCATCATTAGAGCTCTTCACAAGTCCACTTCTGAACATAGGCACCCCCAAGGAATACCACAAAATACGGTCCTGAGCTACCTGCATCCACCGACTACCTGCATATCTTACCAGCTCGTCATTTCATCTAGTGAGGGGCCACCCTACACATCGTTTACCGATACAAGGTTGCTATTCGAGAACCTTTCTTTCCCATTGGTTATCTGTTCTTTGAGCTATATGACCGAACCATTGGTCTTTTACCTAATTTGTTTGTTGTTATATCGGTTACACTGGTTATACTGCGGATATCTTCATTTCTAAGTCTAGTCTAGTATACCTTAAAATGTAATTATTTTCATCGATTCTATAAGTATATCTTCTAATGCGTTGTGTTGGTATGTCGGTTATTCTGGTTTTCTACTGCGGTTATCCTCATTTTTAAGTCTCACCTATTATACTTGAGGTTTATTGGTTTACACTACATTATTTATATGTACTAGGCAATGAGCCGTGGTAGCTCAGATGGTTAACGCTTGCTGTAAATGTAACAGAACGCGAGTAACCTGGGTTCGATCCCCGCCGGCACCAATGAAATTGTTAATTGCAATTTTAAGTGCTAATTTACCACGTGCTCGGCGGTGAAGGAAAACATCGTGAGGAAATCTGCATGTCTGAGGAATAAAAAAAAATAGTTCGCCAACACGCATTGGGGCAGCGCGGCGGACACTTCCTTGCCCAAAAACCCTCTCAGAACTGAAGGGAGGCCTGTGCTCAGCATAGGGACGTATATAGGCTGTAACTTTACTTTTACTTTACTTACTAGGTAATGACCTTGCCCGCGTTCTACGCTGGGGCTCGGGCTACACCGGCTGCGAGGACCCGCTGTCGCTGCTGCGTGACGTCATCGACGCCGAGGAGATCCGTCTCGACCGTTGGACCGTCGTCTTCCACCCTGAGGATAAGCAGGACGAGCCCAAAGAGCTCTCCAAACAGCTACCCGGTCAGTAAATAACAGACGTCAATTGAATAAAACTTTAATTAATAAATATTTTGTCGCGTTTAATTGTCTTTATTTTTAATTCCTTAGGGATTACCCTGTGCAACCGCAAAAAGCACCCGAATCATCGGGAATTGAAAATAAGTAAAATTAAACGCGATAAATCCGTAAAAATAGTTTTATTCAATGTTTAGTATTCGCATAAGACTCCATTTCTTTTTTGTGAACTGCGAACCGTCGACGGGTTAACCAATGTACTTTGAAATCCTATCGAGGTGTCTTTCCTATTATAGGCTAGGGCTCGTGTATTGATGACAAAAAAACAATTCTCGGTCGAAATCGAAATTTCGTTAACAAACTTCTCTAATATCACCAATAATTATAGTAACAATGGAAAGGATTTGAGGTCTTAAATCTCTAGCAAATCACTGAACTTTTAAATTCAGTATAAAGCCACGTATTCACTAGTAAACAAAATTAGCTATAGATGTAAGCATACAATTATAGTTTCAGATATATCACGTAGATATTTCTAATATGTGGCTTAATTCTTATTTTTCTAATAAATGTTTTGAAAGATATAATGTGCAATAAATTCCTGGTAAAATTCGATTCATACAACACAAGGATATTTTATTACGAAAAAGTTTAGTAATGTCAAGTGCGATTTCAAGATGAACTTCGATTACAATATGGCCATACATCATATTGAAGAATGTAAATTAGTTTCATATATGAAAACGAAGACTATTTTATATAAATAGTTAAAGATATCTTTCTGCTACTATACTTACATATAGACTTTACAAGTGAATATGTGGCATAATTGTCAATCGTTACAAATTGTAAGCGAAGTCATCTGGAGCGACGCACTCACGTTACAGCATCTGTGACCACAGGGTCGCAGAGTGAAGACAACTCGCAGATACTGGTCATGAACAACTACTTCGGCATTGGCATCGACGCAGATCTCTGTCTCGACTTCCACAATGCGAGAGAGGAGAACCCCAACAAGTTTAACAGCAGGTCAATTAAATTATATTAAACCTTTTATTCATAGACAATGTGTGTCCCTTTTTCTTAGTTTGACGATAATATCTATGTTAGTATTAAAATATACCGTTATATGTTATTAATAAATAATGTTTGATATTTAATAAACGTCGAAAATAATATAAAAATTTTCACCAATCCACTTCAAGTAAAGACAATCAGTCAAGTCTGACGACAGAGAATCTATCAAAACAGCGTTTTTAACCCAAATTTCATAAACATGTTATTGGAGGCAGGATTACCGTTGAAGGGGTATCAGCTAAATATACAAGGCCATAAAATAACTTATTGACGTCAAAAAAAATTACAGCCTTATAATACGTAGCACTACTAGGTACATGCAACTACTCACTATACAATCTATTAAATATATTGTATATATACAATATATTAAATATTCTATTCCTCTGACATATAAGTTTCCTCACGATATTTTCCTTCACCGCCAATCACGTTGTATATCTGAACAAATCTTCCAAGCTTTATATACTAACTAGTTAGAAATACCACCTGGCATTCAATCATCGACGATCACAATACCAACAAATTCCCACCATAATAGATAATTGATGCTGAAAAACTGTAAATTAAGTAACTTACGAAAATTACTAAACGAGTTGTTTTGTGATGAGAGAAAAATGGACGTGTGTTTATGTTATACAGCAACAATAATTAAAAAAACGAAATCGTGTCAAGATCAGAATATTTTTATTCTGAAATTGACTTTTTGTATACTTGGGGAGTGCTTTCAGCCGGGATGGAAGATGTGATTTAGATGTGGATAGGCGTGTCGCTGCCGGAAACAAAGTCAATGGTGCCCTGAATGCATTAGTAAAAAGGCAAGGCGTGGTGAAGAGTGCACGCCTTGCAATACATAACGCAGTGTTGGTACCGACTTTGTTATATGGCAGCGAAACCTGGGTATGCCAGAAGAAGCATAAAAGCAAGTTGAATGCAGTGGAGATGCGATCTCTTCGTAAAATGTGTGGCGTTACCATAGCCGACCGAAAGCGAAACGAAGAGATTCGCAATATGGCAGGATTGAAAGATGACCTTATCACAAAAATTGATAGGGGCGTACTCCAATGGTTTGGGCACGTTGAACGAATGAGTGAAGACCGAATGGTGAAGAAAATATATAGAGCGAAAGTAAATATTAAAAGGTGTCGAGGTAGACCGAGACTAACTTTCGAAGACCATGTGAGCAAATTGCTCGAAGAGGGGAGGGTCAAGAGTACTCGGATACCTAGACGTGCATGTATGAAGAAGTTAATGAACCTGAAAGAAGCGAAAGAGGTATATAAGGATCGTGACACTTGGCAATCTGTTCTCTCTGGCTACCCCGTTAGGGATTGTGCGTGAAGATAAAGTGAAATTGACTTTCACAAAGCACTTTTTGAAAGTTTGTGAAAGTTAAGAATTATTTTCAACCCTAAACATAATAAGTTTTAGTGTATAATAATGTCCTCCAAACCGAATTTCGGCCACGGCGGCCTGCCTCAACGGAGACTAGCCATCGGCGTAGGACATGATTATATTGCCCAAGTGTATGCGCAAGCACAGGTGCACTCTCTATTCCCTCACTCTCATAATCCGATGGGACGGTAAACCGACACGACCGGAGAGAGATCAGGTGCAGGACCAACGTGCTTTCCGAGGCACGAGAGTGAGGCACCGCCAACTTCCTGAGGCAACATGAGATTGGGAAAACTCAATAATTAATTTTTTTGGCCCGACTCGGAATTCGAACCCAGGACCTCATGATCAGCACAACAACTAGACCAACGAGGCAGTATAGTTTATATCTGTGTATCTGTATATCTGTAACGGATGAACTGATCTTGATTAAGTTTTTTCGTTTGAAAGGTGTCTTAATCAAGAGTGTTGTTAGCTATGTTTCAAACAGATCTGTTCAGCCGTTTGATGATCATCAGCTCCTTTTGTTTGGGGAGCTTATTAAATATTTAATTCAAGTTATTTGATAATCATAAAAAGGATTACACTGTCGCATTAGGACTTCCTGTAATGATAGTTGCAAGTTTCAATAAATAAAGTTCAAAAGCTGCACCGCAGTAGATAGATATGTGTTTATAAAATTCGCATAGCTTTCAACAAAACCACATAACATTTTCGGTTGTGCAGGTTACGCAACAAGGGCGTGTACGTGAAGATGGGGCTCCGTAAGATGGTCGGTCGGAAAATGTGCAAAGATCTGCACAAGGCGGTCAAGCTCGAGGTGGACGGAAAGCCGGTGGAACTGCCCGCCGTCGAGGGCATCATCATTTTGAATATACTCAGGTATGTGACGACATATACTCCTGGAGACTCCTCAAATCGTCCTGGAGACAAGTACTGAAACCAATGTTTATTCAATTGACTATTAGATCTTAAATTATGTTTTTATTTGTTTATAAAAAAACGTTAAACTCCGTTACTAGGATTTTCTCTTGTACTGTAGAGGCAATTTACATACACACATTTCACGAGAACGTGGATACAGACACGGAACAATTAAGGTACGTGAGAGTAATATGATCACCTTAAGCTTTGGCGCCCTATAAAACCCAAACTGGGACTACAAAAACAATATTATAATACTATAACTAATATATTAATAAAAAATAACAAATAAACTTTGGAAGTACTTAGAAACACTTCGAAAATTAACTTAATAAAAACTAACTACGTTATGCCATACTAAAATCGACTAAAGTGTTTACTATAATAACTGTTAAAATGGCGTAGATAAAGCTGCGTCCTTTTGACTCTATTATTTCATTGACTGATGAAGAGCTATCGTATCATGTAGCCTTCTATGCATACAAGGCTGTAGTTTTTGAGTTATAAGAAAGTGACCATAATAACCGGATGACCATATCACCCTTCCGTACTATATTTGTAGCCATTGAGTTATACAACACTAGAGGAGCAAACCACATTACCGCGCGTCGAAAAATGTGTAACCACTATCCAAACGCGACGACGTAGCTTTGAAACTAATAACAATTTTAAATAAACATATATCTATCTCACTTACACAAGTTACGTAAACAATATCGTCGCTAAAATTAGATAAAGATAGACACACAAACATGCAATGGCGGGTTGGTGTGGCTTACTATATAAAATTTTACCTAAAATACGCAATAAAAAATGAGTTTTTTTTAAGCTTCAGTTAATTGTTTTTATATTAAGAAAGTATATTTTATTTTAAAATCTTTATTGCGTCCCCTTAGAAAAAAAGAATACAAAGCTTATCAGATGAGTTAGAAGTACATAATGATGAAATAAAACATATTTTTATAAATATTTTTTACTGTACTAATAAATCAAGTAATATAAAATAGGTAGTGAAATATAATTAATATAAAATTTATATGAAATTTTAATTAATATAAAATTATTAATATAAGATATAAGGTAGTAAAATATATTTAATAGATAATTCATGAATAAAATAAAATAAGAATAATTATTTTGTATAAAGGTTGAAACATAGTTTTTTATTTTTAAGCAATCAATTTTACTTGTTTATTTTAAAACAAAATTAACTTATTCCATAAATTATACAGTCTCCCATTAATGTGGAAAAATCACAAAGGCGGAAAAGTGGCAACATTGAACCTAAATTGCAATATTCGATATTTTATTTAATTTTTTAGTGTTTTAAACGTTAATATGAATATATAAATTAAAACTTACGTATGGAAAGTGATTCCGCTTGATTTATTATGTTTTTGTGACCTTGAAACGCATTCTTTCACTACGCATTTACCCATTTTTTGTTGTGAATCGTTCGGCTTAACTCGGACGGCGTCACCTTGAACACTGAACCGACGTTCGCTGAGTATAAGGCTGTGGCCTTATGTGAAGTGACAACGCTTTGGCGCGGAAATTACTTATCTAGTGTAACATATAAATCAATGTTTGTAGCCTTCTTTATACAAGTCTGTAGTTTTTGAGTTATAAGAAAGTGACCATAATAACCGGATGACCATATTACCCTTCCGTACTATATTTGTAGCCCATACAACTACTAATTCCGTTAATAATTTGAACCTGTGGCCCTCAAATGAAATGCTTTAAGATTTTTTTGATAAATTGAAAAATTGATAAAATAAATGGTTTTTGATGTTTGTCTCGAATGAAAATAACGCCGCCTTAACTAACCCAGGCAGAAGATAGGGCAGGTCGCTATTTTATTTGAAAAAAAAAAAAAACAATATAGTAAAATTACTATTACAGTTACACTACTATTGATGACAAACATGTTAAACTATAAATTTATTGAACCCTAGTTTGTGAGAGACTGGTGCCTAATAAAGGTATTAAACAATACCTGTTCACCAGGTCACCAGGTCCCTCCTCACGGATTGTACATCTTAAATTACACGTTTTTATAGTATATTGAAGACATCATTATTTTCATTTAATTGGTTATGAGAAAATTGACATTTATTAAATTTAAGGATAATGTAACAAAGCCAATTAATTAAATTATACAGATACATATTTTAGATTAAAGTACATAATAATATTATAAATATATATAATGTGCGTGATATTAAAGTTGAGGATGTAAAAAACTTTCAGTGGATTCGTATGTTAAAGATTTGAGCCAGTTTATTGTGTTTTTTCTACATTCGTGTTCAGAAAGAGGATATATAGATAACAGCCTATTTATTTTGTTGTATATGCAATTACTGAGATAGGTGTAGTGTCTCTTGGCTAAGCTGGATTTAACCGTCGTTGAAGGACATACTATAAAATATTACATAACAATCTAAAATGGTTGATCGTTCAATTTGTTCGCAGCTGGGGCTCCGGAGCGAACCCGTGGGGCCCCGAGAAGGACGACCAGTTCAACAAGCCCAACCACTGGGACGGGATGCTGGAAGTAGTGGGCGTCACCGGAGTCGTGCACCTCGGACAGATACAGTCCGGCCTGCGCGGCGCCATGCGGATAGCGCAGGTTTTTCATCTACCAAATATTTATTTATTCATTTAATAACGATGCGCCCCGGCTTTGCACGAGTGATTCCTGGGTCTCGACAACAGCACCACCTACCAGGTATATAGAGTTTTTAAACCATCCAGGGACCCATCCAAATACACATGTAGCAGCTAGGCTTATGAACCGTAAACGACAATAAATAATATTCCTGCTGCTACCATATATATTATTTCCTAATTATCCCCGGCTACTGAGATCGTGCGGGCTGCATATCGATGCGAGATAATTTGACGTATATATTCAACGTTCTAATATAGAAACAAGAAACAGCCGCAAATATCATTCAGCGCCACATCGTCTTCACACGCCGCTATCTTCATGTATCCGTCGACCATTTTTGTGCCGTTTCTTCAACGCCGCAGCTCGCTTCTTCTTGCTGTTCCGGAGCTGTGTCCCACGCTGCCGCCGCTCGCCGATTACGCGGGCGCGCTTTTTATTTTTTGCGCCCAAAGCAATAAGGGCAACCCTCCGGAAAGCGGGGGAGGGAGGCCCACGCAGCCGGCTGCGTGGTTATGTGGAGACTTTTATCCACTAAACACCGCCTTTAGGGACTGGCTTTACGATCTAGATAGAGATTTTTAAGTCGTATCGAACGCGACCCCCCTTGGGTGAAAGGGGGGCGCTAGCGGCGAGTAGCCGCTGGGAAGAATTGCTGCCTAATTAAGGCAGCTTACGAATGGAATGACTAATTATATTGAATTTAGAAGGTGTTGGTGCTCGGTAAGCGCGAGCAGACGGTCCTGAGGGGACTGAGAAGCGCGCAGTTTGCGTGCTAAAATTGCGATGTCTCTTACGTCGATATTGCGGATAGCAGTGTTACTGTATCTACGTTATCGGCGTAAGAGGGTTCCGTCTGATGTCGGGGCCCTAGTGTGGCTAGGTGAGGAGGCCTGTAGGGTCCCTGAGGGGGCCGATATATGTCCTGAGGTGGCTGAGAGTTGCCCTGAAGGGGCATTTTGGATGGGAGAGCCGGGAATGTACGGTCATTGACCGGTGGCGGAGCTTTTTCGGCAGCTTTGTTGCCGAGATTGGGGCGAGACGCGCGAGGGCAGCCTCTGAAGTTGGCCGTATGGTAGGTACTCGGTATCACGGGGCCGAGGACACTCTTTCGAGCTTTGCGGGTCTGGGCACTTAATGCACCTGGGAGGGGCTGAGCAGTTGGCCGCCGCATGCCCGTAGAGTTGGCAGCGGTGGCACTGCGCCGGAAAACCGCGCCTATAGGGGGCTTCGACTTTGATTCTCGACAGGCCGCACACAGTGTGTACCTGTCGGAATATGTCTTTAGCCTCTGGCACGTTGGACAGAATGAGGACCGCAAGCGAGTACCTCTTGCCTACTGCTGTGCATTTTGTGCACAGCCTCAACTGGGAATCCCTGGAACTTAAGTTCCTCTAGGATCTCCTCGTTGGCGAGTTCAAAAGGAACTCCGCGGAGGACAGCGTGACTTTACGTTCTTCAGGGAGAGAGTAGGTGTGATAGAGCACATCTTCACTGTGAAGAGTTTGGTGATATTTAGAAAGTCTTCGATTGACTGCGGGACAATTTTAATTGACTCACCAAGGTTGGTGGCTTGGTCATATTTAAAGCCTGCGTCGTAGCAGGCTTTAGAAAGTCTGGTAAATTGCGCCTTGTCCCTGAGGAAGACAGGGAGCGGGACCTGGGGGGGGGGGGTGCCGCAGAAGACCGCGGTGGAGGGTGGAGGGTTACAAGCCTTATGAGCAAGGGAGCCAAGAGCGGGACCAAGAATTTCGGCGATAGAGGCTTCGTCAATATTGATGGATAGGCCTGTGGCTTGACGGCACTGTTGGAGTACGGCCATAAATATGCACGGAATTTGGTCTACGGCTATGGTAGACATATTGGGTGGACTGGGAGGGTGTTGACGACGCTTATTTCAAGAAACTGGGGTCCCTTTGTCCTGAGAAGAACAAAGGGCTTGCTCTGAAAAGAGCGAGTGACGCCTATTCCAAGAAACAGTAACATAATATTAACAAAATAGTAACAAGAAATATAAACAATAAAAATAACAAGAAACAATAATAATAAAATAACAATGCAAAGCAAGACAATCGCTCAGACCTCCCCGCCGGAGCGAGAGGGCAAGAACCGTGCTAAGAAAGGTGACTCACCAACGGCGACAACCCGACCGGTGCGAACGGGAGAGCGGAGGCGCGCGAGCGAGAGGGGCGCTACCGTACAGGGACGGGAGCGCTGACTGCTTGACACGACCGCTTGGGAGCGGCGCCTTGGCGCGCGCGTGCCGGTCTGCACCACTTTTATAGCCCAGTCCAGCAACGCAGCTACGAGAAGCTATACACGAGTCTCACGCCGGCAAATGGAGCGTACATAATAGTTGTATTTTTGATTAATGTTTATTGGTCATAATGTATGAATTGTAATTGGCTAGGCAAATAAAAATTGTTACTATTGGTAAAATAACGACGTAGCCGGACATATAAATTAGGGTTTGGGAATTCCCGACAATTTCATAGTCCCGGGACACGAGACAGTCTACAATCAAATTCCCGGGACTTCGAGACTTAAGAACATTTATTAAACAGAAAGTTAAATCTTAATAACTTCAACGTTCGTTAACTTCAGTTGCTTCAGTCTTAATAATTGCTTTGTTTATTTCTTTTAATCACACACACACACATTCACTTAATAGTTATAAATCGAAATTAGTAAAAAATCATACTGATTCTTAACTTTACTATTTATTATCTAGTAATTCTAGTATCTAATATTGGTCATAATCACAACATTGTTAATTCTCATAATCACGGATTTGTTTCATAATTAAAAAATCTAAACTTAAATAATAAAGCACAGTTATAAACCAGTATTTTAAATAATCAACTAATACATTAATGAGACTTCTTTTCTGATTTAATAAATTAGGCTTTTAAAAAATCAGAGCGTCAACAGCTTTGTCCGACAATCTGTTTCTGATTTTTGTAATAATGTCACCGGACATGGAGAATACTCTCTCGTTCGTTTCAACAGTTCCGAACTACCAGTGGGCTGTGGCAGTACTCTATAGTCCGACAAATTCGATAATCCGACACCGGATTGCAAAACGTTTGTCGGATTACCATAGAATACTATAATACTAGTATTCTATGGTAAAACCAGTCATTGCCTTCGACATTTTACAATCACTAAATATAAATAAACATAAAAAATCTGTCTACATAAAACACAAAAAATGTTTCTACCTATGTCCGTTATAGACTGATACCATCCAACCGATTTTGATGAAATTTTTGTGTGTGTTTGAATGGGTCCCTAGATAGTTTATATCAGGACACGGTAGGTGACGCTGTTGTCTAGATCCAACACTCACCCGTGCGAAGCCTGGGCGGATCGGCGGATGAGATACGACATTTTTTTAGTATTGTAACTGTAGTGGGAAGTTTACAGGATTATTTTAATTTTATTTTTTTTTTGCACTTTGACGAATTTATTAAGATATAGACTTGGACTATAATGGACCGATTAACCATAATCCCAACTGATATAACAATCCCGAATGATATACCTAGAAAATACCTGAAAGAAGATATAACTATTCAGGTATAACTCTGGTCTTACATCCATATTGTAACGGTCTAAAAAAAGGTTCATGTGTCCTGAATGCACTGTGATATACAGGGTTTTTTTTTCAAAGAGTAACCAAATTTGAAACTTAATTTCAAATATATAAATAATAAAATACCGTTAGTGCAGTTTTTGAAAATATGAGTAAATTTAAGGCTTCTACTTTTATTCGAAATTATCCCAAATTGAATGTGATTTATGGGTAACAATGTTTTTGCCTACCAATCGACCCTTACGAATCTGTACTTGTGCGCAGTAAAATCAGTTAAAATAATGCATTACCGCGCATTTTGAACTTAAGAGATAAAAAGGACAGAATGTTTGAGTTTTTTGAATTAATTGTTTTTCACCGTTTGCCTATATTGTTTATTCTAAACCTTCTTTGAAAATTTGGCCAGTAGTTGTAAGATAACCCTGTATAACGTCTAGTCGTTCGATGCTCTTATAATGGGTGGTGGAATCGAATCGAAACTTTCGAATAATTTCAGAAGCCACAAACTGAGGCACAAGTGAATATTAATAAGTTCGCTTGCGGCACTATATCTTGCCATGAGGATATAGTGCCAGAAGTGTTATTCGTGCTAATACACCCGAATAACTTTTTTTTACCTGTTAAGCCAGCTCTTACACTAGTTATATATAAGACTGCTTCGTTGGTCTAGTGGTTGTAGTAGTGCGACTGCTGATGATGAGGTCCCGGGATCAAATCTCGGGTCTGGTCAAATAATGAGATTATAGAGTTTTTCCGTCAAAAACAAATTCTCAGTAGCTGCCCGGGGTGATGAAGTTGGCGGTGACTCACCCCAGTGCCTCGGAATGCACGTAAAGTCGTTGGTCCTGCGCCTGATCTCTCTCCGGTGGTGTCGATTTACCGTCCCATCGGACGATTAGACCGAGGGAATAGAAAGTGCATCTGTCCATAATCCTGTCCTCCGATGATGGCTAGTCTCCTTTGAGGCTGGTCGCCGTGACCGAAATTCGAGACCGAATTCGAAGACATTATTAATACCTATTATAAGACAATGCCAGTTCTGGGTATAAACTTCTGAGATAAAAGAGACAAAAAGATTTTCTGGAATTCCCACACTCTCTTTCGGATTTGACCTATTACTTACCTACTCAATTTGTACGTACATTACGTGTTTCAGGGCGGACATATAAAAATAAACCTAAAGAGCGAGATTCCGGTACAAGTAGACGGAGAGCCTTGGGTCGCAGCGCCCAGTGAAGTCGTGGTGCTCAAGTCGGCCCTCAAGGTATAGCCTTCTCAGAATATTACTCTGCATGATGCTCGTTTACTTCACGTCTGACGAACTGAGCTTTACACTTCGTTATCGCAGCACTCTCATACCAACAAAGAATGATAATCACAACTTTTTTAAATACCACCGAAATCATGTGCAACTTATTGAAAGTACACTAACTGATGCACACATATGCATCTAAAATCATTATTTTTTATAGAATAAGGGTGACAAACGAGCACAGTCTACCTGATGGTAAGTGGATGAGCCGCAGCTTATAGACATCTACATTTATACTCAATTATCAAAATGCAAATGCGTTGTTACCTCTGAGGACTAAGATGGAATGCCTCATTTCCAATAAGAAGGGTCACCGGTGCTCTACACTCACCATACGAAACACAGCAGCATTAAGCTGTTATTATACGCTGGTATTATGTGAAAACGTGGACCTACTCCGGTCGAACCGACCCATTCGTGCTACAACCACAATATAGCTGCATCGTGATGATAGCAACATGGTCTTAAGTGCATGGGCGTGCGTCCAATAACGAATTTTACGGGCTCATAAAGAGAGAAAGAAGCATGTTTGTATTGTGTGCATGAGTGCGTTTCAAGAAGTTGATGAATTCGGCATCGTTTGTGAAATGTAGTGTTCTGTCTCTTTCTTTGTTGGTCTGAGGTAGCACGTTGATCCCAAATAGAAACAGTTCTACAACAGAATGATATATTCGTCTAGTCCCAAACTAAGATTTCATTGTAATATTTATATAATTTCAAAGATATAAATAGGTGTAAATAAACAACCATTACTTACTAGCCGTCCATTCACTCTATCTATTCAATGGCCTCTCAAAGTTATGGGAATATTCATTAGTCCAACAATTTTGTATCTTTAATAGCAGTTGAACAAATAAAAACAGTTTGGTTGCTAGTTTGTATTTGAGTAGACTTAGAAGCATCTCTTATGCCTAACCCCTAAAGTAACGGCGGGCAATAAAAGGTTGAGAGGTTTTCAACTTTAATTTTTGAAATTACAGTATTTTATCAAGATTTACCAAGGCTAAGACGAAGTTTTAGAAACAGTTTAGAAAAAGTGTAATAAATATAAATATAAGTAGTATGATATATTTATAAAGGATTTCTTACGATTTTCAAATCGCAACACTATCTAGGAAAATACTTCACTTGTTTTATTTGTTTATATTAAATTTGAATGTTGATGTCGCCTAAAATTGAATGCTAAGCCACGTTCTTTCGCTCCAATATCTGCGCTTTGAAAAATATGTAATTGTGCCCGTGCTTTGAGCTCTTCAGTGCAGCGCTTTTCCATTAATATATGAAATGTTTCACATTATAACAAATAAATTTTATTTTAAGATATTTATAATAACTAGTTATCATTATTATAAAATATTGTTAAGTATAATTTAATTAAAATATTTCTAATGCAGAATATCTATTTTAAGTGCTTAAAGCTTTTACTTAAGACGACACATCGAAAAAGTGTCTCTTGGCTATCGCCGCGCCGTACTGATCCGAGTGCATACATAATTTCTATTACAAATTTAAAAGACACCTTTATAAGGTCTAAAATTGCATTGCGCCCGCGACGATTAGGACAGCTTAGAAATAGTCAGAATCTTAAAATATTTAAGTAATCAAAATAATGAGCAAGTAAATTATGAATATTGATGTTATGATAATATTTGAGTGATTCCCAAGCATATAGATTAAGTAATTTCGTTGTAATTTCAACTATAGTGATTTTTTAGAGGTGTTTTCGCAAATAATAATGATCGAGTCAAAATTATACAAACGTGTTTTTGAACAAGCAAATTCAAGATAAAGACATGAATTTATCAATCTTTCTTATCAAATATCAAAATTCCACTTTCGTTAGTGGTGTCACTATGACATAGTCCTCAGTGGCGAAGCTAGGGCTCCAAAGCCCAAGATATGGTTTTGTTGTTTTTAGCAGTTTTATTAAAATACACCAATCTTAATCTGTCTCCTCCACTCTTTAGTTTCATATTCAGTGCTGTCGAGGACGTGTTTAACAAAACTCTCAGAAGGCGTAATTCTACTGGATAGATTGTATGACATATCAGCAATTGCATACCTTCGGTGGCTTTGAAAAAAGCCGTTTGGGTTTGCTTGAGCGAAATAAAAAGATATTTACATACAATACATGAACAAAAGAAAAGCATGAACGAAATATAAACAAACTATGTACAAAATAAAAAATAAAACAGATTATTTACATTCTAAATCGAATCATCTCTCTTTCTTAAGCAAAGATTTGATTACGTCCGCGTAAAATGTTGGGGAACGTTTTAATTGTACCAAGTTGTTTTTTCTCAACAAAGTTTAAATATTTTACCTTTTCATTTTAGCACTTTAACACACTTCGATTCAACAATCACACCTCCATTTTCACTAAAAATCTTTAAAAAAGCATAAATTTTCAACTCGCAATATTCATTCGCTCAAGTTAAACACACAGAGTAAACATTGAAGTGTGAAGTGAACTTGCAAACATATGGCGCCCCCGCGCTCTACTAACTTTATACCTAAAAAGACTACTAATCGCTCAATTCAACTCCTTTTTTATGACAACAGTATCGCTAAGGCTACGAGGTTATGACCTGTGTAAAACAAAGGAGCACGCGGGAAATTTGAAATAGTTTGAAACAGTTTAAGAGTTATTTTATCAGTTGATATTATTGATTGAGCAGTTTGAAAGGGCAAGCCCGGTTTCTCGGCTTCTATGGAGGTTTCTCCACTGATAGTCCTATACTATCCTATGAAAGGAGGTGCATTTTTTCGCGGTGTCGCCTTAACAAGTTATCGTTGTAAAATAACTCTTGCAACATCGCACCGCGTCTTTTGCATGGCCTGAATTAATCTCATTTGAATTTAATTTTCATTTTATTCTCGATTTGTGAAAGAAAAATTTAGGTACATACATTATTAAAAAAATGGCTTGTTTTGTTTTCAAGGTGGTACCATTTTAACAGACTATTTCTTTAGATCTTCTTACCTATATTGATTGAATCATTGTTTGTTCCGTGTGTAGCAGTAAGCAGTGTGTACATTATAAACTCTTGTTGCTATAACTTTCAGCTGCTTTATATTAGTAATAAATACATTTGTAAGTTATATATGTATATACTCCATATATATAATATATGTATGTATACGTATTGGAAACCGTTTTCTGGCGCTCGCCACATCATGCCGGTCCCATCGCCTAGAGCCGGCGCTGCTTGAACAAACATTTTGCTTTAGATGTTCGCAAGTGAAAATGTTCGTTCAGTGGAAACGCGGACAGCTAGCCCGATTCCATGTTAACACTTAACTAACAATTCAAATTCAGTTTTTTGTACTTGAAATTAGTATAATAAGCCGAAACGTGGGACTTACGTGCTTGAGAATCAAATACAGATTAATAACTGCAGTAGTGAAATCAATTTAAGCTATTATGTTATGCAATCTTATTGATGAATTGTGTAAACAAAAATCCCTTGATCTATGAATATTACAAATCTATTATCGTTTAATGTTAAACAACAATAAAAGTAAAGTGTCCATTACTGAAATATAATACTTACAGAAATAGCTAAGAGCAGTATATCTTGCTAAAGAATTAATAAATTTAAGATTACCATTATTTATCAACTCCTCTTAACAATATTAGGAAACACAATCATTTGCTTACAATTATTACGAATGATGAGAATTGTTGTTTTTAAAACTCTTACTACCTTTATAATATCTTAGAATTTTATCACTAGTCGAATAAAAAAAAACAACATGTCGAAAATGACAAAAATGGCGGGAAGCTATCCGACCAAATTAAAAAGTTAGGTTATAAAAAGAATATAAGAATAGGGAAGGAGTTAGGGCGCGCGTAAGTCCCCCGGCGTGGCAGCGTGGCTGAGTGGTGTGGCCGGCAGGCGACGATGCTGAAGAAAACGAAGCGCGGCTCGGGGTCCGCGGGCCCCGGCGGTGGCCCCTCGGGCGGCCCGTAGCTGAGCGCGCGCTTCCGCAGGCCCCCATGCTGAAGAAGCGCGGCAAGGTGCGCCGGCGCAGCACCGAGCCCAGCCTCCCGCCGCCCCCCGCCGCCGCCGCCTCCGCACCCCCCGCCGCCGCCACCGCACCCTCCCGACTCCTGAATCTGGCTCAGCGAGCGCCTCATCTGACGCCGCCCCGGGCTCACGGCTGCGGAGGCGCTCGCCAACCTGTCCGTAGTTGGCATTTCAAGCGGTGGCGATGTAAATAAATATTGATCCAGATATAACTATATAACATAATGAATAAATAAATTTATAGTCATTAGAAGTTGTTTCATTTATTAGGTGAGAACATTTTGACAATGTATAAATAAACGTTTCAATATGTAAATGTGGGTTTTTATTTTTACAATCCTGTCACCTTTAACATAAATATTAAAACTATCACAACAAATCAACTACCCCATGTCATCCCGTGGATGTCGTAAGACGTGACAGAGGGAAACAAATCAGAGGATGGACAGCAGCGTCTTCCTAATAAAAAAGAGTAAAGTAAAAGTAAAGTTACAGCCTATATACGTCCCACTGCTGGGCACAGGCCTCCTCTCATTTCTGAGAGGGTTTTAGGGCAAGGAAATGTCCGCAGCGCTGCCCCAGTGCGTGTTGGCGAACTTCACATGTCTTCGAAATATTTTTTTCTTATTTCTCAGACATGCTGGTTTCCTCACGATGTTTTCCTTCACCGGCGAGCATGTGGTAAATCAGTACTTAAAATTGCAATTAACAATCACTCATTGGTGCCGGCGGGGATCGAACCCGGTTTGCTCGCGTATTGCGAAATTTACAACGAGCGCTAACCATCTGAGCTACCACGGCTCTTCCTAATAACGACTAAAAAATAAAAAACTATGGTTGCCAAATCGCTTGTCAAGCGTGGCAACTATGGCAATTATCTATGAGACAATGCCCTATGAGGCAGTTTCTGGGATCGGCCTATGTTCAGCAGTGGACTTTAATAGGATGTAATGGTAACACCATTATAAGTACCAGCATAAAAGTAAAACATTCTATAATACGTGATAGAGTCCCGCTACAACGCAATTTGATTATAGCACGAATAGGTCATCTCGACCGGAGAAGATCCAGGCTCTCACATAAGTAACATATCAGCATAAGCTGCTGTGCTTTGTATGTTGAGTGGCGGTAACCATCAGTAACCTACCAGTGTCTAATGTAGGGATGGTTTTATACAAGATTTTAAAATATATCGAAATTGATATAAATTTGATACTCCAAAATAAATATCGATATATCGTGATTTAAAAATATCGGTGAAATATATCGATATTTTTGCGAGACAATATCGATATGTTTTATCCAAGCCTATAGTTCATAAAAGATAGCTTGATCTCTGCGACAGCTGTCAGTAAAAAGTCACGCCTATGAAGTCCTGAATTTCTTAGTAGTACAGACAGTACCTGTCAATGTCATACTTTATGGGCATTCACTAATTAGGTCGGCATGCCCATAAAGTATGACATTGACAGGTACTGTCTGTACTACTAAGAAATTCAGGACTTCATAGGCGTGATTTTTACTGACAGCTGTCGCAGAGATCAAGCTATCTTTTATGAACTATAGTCTAATGTAACGCTTATTAATATGTAGTAGGCTGGGATCAGCTGATACCAAAACCACAGAATAAATACTACGTATAGAAGTAGCACTCCTTGATGTTGACTGCTTGCTTTAAAAGCCTACATAATTATTATTAATCAGATAAATCGCGTACGCAAGTTAAATAAAATGTTATCGCTGTGCGCGAGTGTCCATATTACTTTGCATCTTTCCCCTTCTTAAATCACAACATACTTTCCGTGGTTACTAAGGCATGTCAATAAAGAGTTAAAAAGACATTGCTAAATGTTAATTAAGTTACTTAGGTGAAGTACCTATTCTGACTATAATCGACTGACCATATTTTTGCTCCTTTGTGAGTTCTGCGATGCTCAACGTTGAATGTTGTATGGACAAATTTGCATGAACTTGCAAGGCCATTCGTCGGGAATCGCGATTGGAAGAAAGAACAAATAAACTTCAAATATGATTTCCTAACAGAAATGTGATCGTGTTAATTTCAGTATTTTGTGTTATTATAACTTAAAATATTTTAATTACAAGAGACAATTATTTATTTAATTAATTATTTATTACAAGTATAGGTATGTAAGTAGATATTTGGATAGTTAAGTAAATTTATATTTGAGCTATTATTAAAACGGCAGGGCCGCAGGCGAGGATGGAATTACAGCGGAGCTTCTGAAAGCGGGTGTAACACCGGTACTTGAAGTCCTTCAGAAGCTCTTCAATTCTGTCCTCCATGGTGGCACTACTCCGGAGGCGTGGAGAAGAAGTGCGGTCGTCTTGTTCTTTAAAAAAGGCGACGACGCTCTCTTGAAGAACTACAGACCGATTTCCCTTCTGAGCCGCGTCTACGTGCTGTTTTCGAAAGTCATTTACGAATCGTCTCGCAAGCAGACTCGACGACTTCCAGCCTCCCGAACAAGCCGATTTCCGAAAAGGCTTCAGTACCATAGACCACATACATACCCTGCGGCAGATTGTACAGAAGACCGAAGAGTACAATTTGCCACTTTGCCTGGCATATGTGGACTATGAGAAAGCCTTTGATTCCGTCGAAATTTGGGCGGTGCTACAGTCCCTTCAGCGGTGCCAAGTTGACTGTCGGTATATCAAAGTGCTGAAGTGTTTGTACAGTAGGGCTACGATGGCTATCCTAGGCTAGCTCGAAGTTGTTGACGAGTACGTTTACCTGGGACAAATAGTCCGACTAGGTAAGTCCAACTTCGACCGAGAGGTCAATTGACGGATTAAACTGGGCTGAGCAGCGTTCGGGAAATTACGACACATCTTCTTGTCAGGTATACCTCAATCTCTGAAAACTCAAGTGTACAACCAGTGCGTGTTGCCAGTGATGACTTACGGATCAGAGACGTGGTCCTTCACTGCTGGCCGTATGAGGATGCTTAAGGTTGCTCAGCGAGCTTTGGAGAGGGCTATGCTCGGAGTTTCTCTGCGTGATATTCAGAAATGAGGATATCCGCAGTAAAACCAGAGTGATCGACATAGCCCAACGGATTGGTAAGCTGAAGTGGCAATGGGCCGGCCATATAGCTCGAAGAACCGATAACCGATGGGGAAGAAAGGTTCTCGAGTGGCGGCCTCGTATCGGTAGGTGTAGTGTAGGGCGACCCCCCCCCCCCACTAAATGGAGTGACGACCTGGTAAGACATGTAGGAAGTCGATGGATGCAGGTGACTCAGGACCGTGCTTTGTGGCATTACTTAGGGGAAGCCTATGTTCAGCAGTGGACTTGTGAAGGGATGTAATGATGATGAATGATAATGGCATTATATTAATATGATAGATAAATAGAAAGGACGTTACGGGTAGAGTCCCTCTATCCATAGAGTCCATTCTATTTATTTAGGTATAGGTAGGGTATAGAATTTTTATCGATATAATTTGGTACAACTGTCTTATCCCTAGTATTAGTTCCGTGGACGTGCACTTCTGATGTCAGCGCCAAAATGGCGGAAATCAAATCGCTTCATCATGTCACGGTGTATAGCCAGTCCAGCGTACTTGTATATATAGAGGTCAGTGATAACCGGGCAATGTTTCTTAGAAAAAAAAAAGAAATCACTCTGAACTTTCGGCGTTCCACGTGTAGCATTGCAGAAGGTGCTCCGTCATTTTTATAGAATTTTATATTTGCGTCTGGACTAAAAACGAAAGTATTATACTTTTTTTGTATTCCTTGTAATATAGTAAACACGTAGATATATAATTTGTGGCATAAAAAGTGAAAAGTAAGTGCCAAAAGTACTTCGAAATCGAGAAGTCCGATTTTGGCGGTTGGGTCAAAAATGTGTTATTTTTCCAATTCCGATTTATTTTTAGTGTAAAATGTAACTAAAAAATAGTTTTATAACATATTTCAAATAACTTGACGTTGTATTTATTTCAAATTCACACAAAAATATCATTGAAGTAATATGTACTTACGTACTAGAACAGCTATCTCAAACAAAAAATGTGCGCTACTCTGTGTTCGTGCGGTTCGTTTTATTTATCATAGAATAAACATAGGTAGAATGATCCGTAGGTAATTGTAGATTGTATTGTTAAATAGGTAAATTATATCGAGAACAATATTTAAATTTTGTCATTTATTTTGTATATTATATTTGTTTATTTAATATAATATTACATAATATTATATCACAATTACAATTTGAAGATATTTTTATCTGAATATTTTAAAAGGTATCTCATGTCAAATTGCAAAAAAAAACGTACTAAATGTATGTTTAACAAAACTTATTAACATAACATTTAATTTACAAATATATTTATTTAAATAAATGCTGGGCAAGCGAGAGTTAAAAATGGAGGAATTTATTCCACTTTGACTTTGATGTGGAAACCTAAGAATAAAAAAAAGAATAATAAGCAGGTTTAAATATGAAAAATTTAGCCTAATTATAATAACTTAAATATGTTTCTACAAAAAAAATGTGTATAATAAATAATATATTCGTCCTATACTTAAGTACCCACAGAAATGTCGCATCTGAACATATTAATTTCATAATCTATATTCAATGACACGAGATGGCGTCTTAGGAATTATTTGTTTTATTATTAATCTATAATACTTTTTTATTGATTAAATATCTTATTAACCGATGAAAAGTAATTCCTTGGTTTTTACTGACATTCCTTGAATTATTTGAGCAATATCCAAGTACACACGACGGCATATTTTTATCAAGAGATTTTTTTTAAATCAACACAACACGTGACTACTCTACAAGCACCTAGCGAGTGACTAATTAAAGTGCGGTGCATGCACCGCAGTTGAGTGGAACAGAGTAGCTGAATGCAGTGTCGCCTCTAGTACGTAGTACATAATAGCTCAATGCAAAAATATA